GGGCCAACGTTCGAGCACCAGTCGGCCCATCGTCTTACTGGCTCTGCCGATTACCCTCGCTTCCTTAAATGCAAAACCGGGGTTCAGCTTTTGTGTCAGACCATGAACCAAAGGCAGCTTGTTCCTGCGGTTGGTCACCCTCGGGGCGCAAAATCTCGCACCGCGGGCGTACGTCTTCAGCCGGTTGAATAGTTTTTTGCAACCTTTTAGCCTTTATTTCTGTACAGAATACAACATCCTCTTAGCATGCGTCCCACTTCTTCCTTTGCTACGGCCTGAAAGCCGTAGTGGTTAGGATCAATTTGCAGCTTTAGCAGCCTCGACAGACATGCGGTTTTAATGACCCCTGGCAGCCACTGATTGAAGATTGTGTAGTTTAAACCCTGCAGAATGTAATCGTGTAATATGGATTGGTACTGATTACAGTTGATAGCACGCAGTTTGCTGTTTGGAGCCTGTTATTCTTTAAAGGTAAACAGAACATAAAGCGAACGCTTTAACCGTTATTCTTTGGATTATACTGTCGAGAGAGTTGTAGATACTATGCGTATTTCTATATTTCGTTTAACTCCCCACAGTGACGACGAGGATTATATGAGTGTAGTTAGATACAGTTAATGCGGACAATGGATTAACTGACTTTACCACAGTCCCCCAGACTATGACCAATGGGATCATTTAAACATCCTATAGGAGTTGGGGCTAAGACAAATAACCCTAACAGCTACAATCATTCAGGTCCTGGTTCCTTAGGAAATAGGAGAATTCTTGGGAAGGCCAGAGTAGAAGGAAGAGTTTTGGTGTTCACAGGAAGGAGAATAGAATGGAAATAGTGTTGACTCGCGGAGTAGTGCGTCCGTTCCCTATTCGGGTGGGCTCCGGAGTGTTGAGGACATCGAGCGTCGCCGGCGCATGCTTTGTTCCGGCGGCCAATGAGGCGGGTGATGTCTAGATTCGCGTGGGCCAATGACAGTTAGCGCCTAGCCCCAGATGGCGGTGGGCACACAGGCAGGCTAGATGAGTCATGCGTCAGTGGCTGGTCTTGGGTTCCAAGTGGCTGCAAAGAGGCCACTACAATCCTTCACCTTCTTAAAACTTAGACATGCACTCGACTTTCCTTTATCACAGTAGGCAATCAAAGCGTTTTATCGGCCTCATCGCGGTGAAATGGATGAAACGATAGGTGCCAATCCCACTTCGCATATCAGCACTCAATTGCGACAGGATGCTGCGAATTTCTTCCAAACTTCTTTGTACCATTTCTACACAGAATACAACATCCAACTGGCTTCCCACCAGTTGAAGAGCGTACCGACTGGGTTCCGCTCCCTAAAGCTTCAGCTACCACGATACTGCCATTCACCTCACCAGACAGTCAATTTGCAGAGCTAGTTCTAAGGAATCAGAAGGGGACGACTGAATCCCGTAACAGATCGGTGTGTTCATCAACCAATGTCAATATTTCCTTTCTAAACCGGTAAGCCAACCAACCCAAGGAACATTGGGTTAGAGCGATGAACTTCTAATAAACCGTTCGCGGATTCGGGTAGAGCGTGTTAGGATATGGGTGAATGATGAGCCAGAACTGACCATTTCAGTTTCCCTTGTCTTTTTTTGGCAATGTTCATCTATTTTCGGAAACTTCAACTGATACTGTAAGTGTAAAGCTAGGTTTCAACTCCTTTGCAATTCGGCGATCTAGGACGAGGTTTTCTCAGGCCTTCCACAAGTAAACGTCCCAGTTTCTGCAATTGTAAGCTCGTCCGCGCTGGTTTCTCATCAGCAGCGTACATGGAAGAGTGGGGTGTATAAATCCTTAGGTCATTGTGTGTGCACGAATAGATCTTCTCCGAAAACCTGTAACCGGAGTTACTGACCTGTCTCTTCTGTCTACACCCATGCTACAACGACCGGAGTTACTGACCTGTCTTTTCTACTTAACGGTGAGAGCGATTATCGGCGAGACAGCTATGCTTAAGACTGCTTCTTTCAGTTCCAGTTAGGAACAAGGACGCAATATACAAACCCACACAGGGATACTCCAGCATATAATAGGGTAGAGATAATAAGGATGTGATGGATGGAGCTAGAGGACAGGAAAACGACAAACTAACCCTATCATTATCCACTGTGTTTGTTAGGGTTAGCTTTGGGTGGCGCCTTAACAGACTCTCAGAATAGTTTATTTCTTAAACATGTGTGCGGCTTGTGAGAGCCGATGGCTTTACGTGACGTTGACCACTACACGCGAACTCATGCCTACCTGACTTGACCCACTTTTTTACGGACCATCGACTGGAGGCCGACTCAGCGCCATCTATCATTACCACAGTAAGACAGATGCAGTTTGAACTGCTGCGGCGTCTTAGAAGTCGTCAAATGGAAGGTTGCCAGTTGACCCGATAAGTCGGTCCTCCTGATGCCAACAAACTATTGTACAAACCTACTAACCCAGCCAAAAATGTTGATCCCGCCGAACACAGTGGATAGGGTTATGGTTAGGTTGGTGATTAATACGATTGCGTATTGCACACTGACCTACCCTTTCTTTCCCGGGTGAGGCCCCCTTAGGTGCTTGGGACAAGGTGAGCGGAACGACCCTCGGGTGTAGCTGGTTAGTTACTGTTATAACTGCTACCTCTCCACGCGCGCATTCCCTAAGACGTTTCAAACTGCTCCCTGCAACCAAACTGGATACACACACTGCCTAGAAAAGACCGCTCACATCCATTTAAACGCATAAAATTGATTAGGTGAGGATTCAGTGTGCACATACATTACTAACTGCCTATTTCATTGTAGTAAGCCTGCCTCGTTGTGTACTTATTCAGCATTTATCAATTGTACTTCCCACACGGAACTCGTCAGCGTACTACGGTCGCTTTAAGTTTTATTAGTTTTTAGTTTATTATTTTAGTTAGTTAAGTTTTCAGTTTAGGTTAGTTGAGTCTATTATTTATTTTCTGTTTACTTAGTTTATCGTTTAATTTTATTAGTCTTTAGTTTTAGTGTAGATTAGCATTTAGCTGGTTCAATTTAATTTAGTTTACATTAGTTTTATTAGCGACACGTGCTTGCCTTTCGGCTTAAAAATGAGGGAAAGCCTGTCCTTCATGATTTTACTTTATTCCCTAAAATTCGCCATCCTCTGCGTACTTCCGCAATTTATGCAGTCTCACAGTTTTCGGAATTCTTGTTTCCTATTGGTTATATTGATCATTTTAATCATCGCATGCCATTCGTTGCCGAACATTATGTTATCACATAATTCCTCCCATTATTTTCTACTTTTAAACGCTCTACATTGATAATCACTTTTCCTTTTTCCTGCTATGACCCACCCATAAAACCCCTATTACCACTCGTTCCGTATTGCGGAATCCTAGAGATTTTGTTGCTGCGATGATGTGCATACTGAATCCCTACCATTGATTCTGGGTTACTGTGGCAAAATTCGAGGAAAGTAAGGCGGCAGTCACTCAAAAAAGACTATCCAATTTATTTTGATTAACGAATGTTGCCGTGTGAAGGACATTGGGCAGCACTCCCAACTGGAAATAAAACCCCGTGTGGGCGGATAGTAAATAAACCCGCCGGAAGGGACAGGGGGACATCCA